CTAATATTTTATTTTTTGTATTTCATACCAGTAACAGGTAAAACATAACAGAAGTATATCTAACAAATCTTTAAGGTATATGAACCTCACTGGGGTCAGGATGTCAATCAGTGGCATACAAATGTGGTAAAACGATGGAAAAAGCAGATATGAAGACAAGAAGAAGACAGTAAAATGAAGTCAGTCATGAGATAGGCATAAAGAGGTCAGTTATGGGAGCAGAGTAATGAAATGTTCACATAAATAGGAATGAATATTGGAATTCGGAAATGACAAAATCATGCAGTAATGGGCACTTGAGTGACATTGAGTGACAGATGAGAAGAAATGATATCTGCACAAAAATGTGATCTATAAAGCATTGAGTGAGAGGCTGAAGAGATGAATAGAGAAGAGGACACGATGGTGGAGATGGATGCCTAAGTACGACGAAGGAGGTCAGTCTAATATGTTGGAGTTATGATGTTAAAAGGGTTGTGGCATTTAAGACACTGAATAAAGCAAAGAACTGTGGTCCAAGTGTTTCTTTTAATGGCAGAGATATTAAGATATCAAACTATATCCTATTTCCAATTTTATCTTAGTATCACATTCGCCTGACTGCTGGAAGTATGGCAACTCCATAACTAGTTGACTGTATTTCAAAGAAAGGTTTTTATGCTTTTAATATTACAATGGCTTATACTTTGTGGCCCACTTATTCTTTACCACATGCTGTTCCTTTTATATATATGTATATATTAGAGATGAGCGAATTATTCAAAAATTTGATTCGGCTGATTCGCCGAATTTGCGGAATAAATTTGATTCGATGCGAATTTATTCGCTGCGAATTTAACTTATTAAAAGGGTTTCTAGGCTTCAGAGAGCCTTTATATTAGTGCAGAACACTGTACCTTTAATTTAAATGCCCTTGGAGTCTGCTGGGGAAGAGAAATAATACTGTCAGTCAGTATGACATGCAGATGAGTGCCGTCGATCTTAGAATCACCGCACACTTCACTCATTTGGGCAGTCACGGGGCACGACGAAGAAGATGAAGAAGAAGATGAAGAAGAAGAAGAAGATGAAGAAGAAGAAAAAGATGAAGAAGAAAAAGATGAAGAAGAAGATGATGATGAAGATGAAGAAGATGATGAAGAAGAAGAAGATGATGATGAAGAAGAAGAAGATGAAGAAGAAGAAGAAGAAGAAGAAGAAGATGAAGATGAAGAAGAAGAAGATGAAGATGAAGATGAAGAAGAAGAAGAAGAGGATGAGGATGAAGAAGAAGAAGAAGAAGAAGATGAAATGAAGAAGAAGAAGAAAGAAGAAGAAGAAGATGAAGAAGATGATGATGAAGAAGATGATGATGAAGAAGATGATGATGAAGAAGATGATGATGAAGAAGATGATGATGAAGAAGATGATGATGAAGAAGATGAAGAAGAAGAAGAAGATGAAGAAGAAGAAGAAGAAGAAGAAGAAGAAGAAGAGGAAGAAGAAGATGAAGAAGAAGAAGAAGAAGAAGAGGATGAGGAAGAGGAGAGGATGAGGATGAAGAAGAAGAAGAAGAAGAGGATGAGGATGAGGATGAAGAGGATGAGGATGAAGAAGAAGAAGAAGAAGATGAGGATGAAGAAGAAGAAGAAGATGAGGATGAAGAAGAAGAAGAAGATGAAGAAGAAGATGAAGAAGAAGAAGAGAAGAAGAGGATGAGGAAGAAGAGGATGAGGATGAAGAAGAAGAAGAAGAAGAAGAAGATGAGGAAGAAGAGGATGAGGATGAAGAAGAGGAAGAAGAAGATGAGGAAGAAGAGGATGAGGATGATGAAGAAGAAGAAGAAGATGAGGATGAAGAAGAAGAAGATGAGGATGAAGAAGAAGAAGAAGATGAAGGATGAAGAAGAAGAAGAAGAAGAAGATGAAGAAGAAGAAGAAGAAGATGAGGAAGAAGAAGAAGAGGATGAAGAAGAAGAAGAAGAAGAAGATGAGGATGAAGAAGAAGAAGAAGAAGAAGATGAGGATGAAGAAGTAGAAGAAGAAGATGAGGATGAGGAAGAAGAAGAAGAGGATGAAGAAGAAGAAGATGAGAGGATGAAGAAGAAGATGAGGATGAAGAAGAAGAAGATGAGGATGAGGCTGAAGAAGAAGAGGATGAGGATGAAGAAGAAGAAGAAGAAGAAGAAGAGGATGAAGAAGAAGAAGAAGAAGATGAGGATGAAGAAGAAGAAGTAGAAGAAGAAGAAGAGAATGAGGATGAAGAAGAGGATGAGGATGAAGAAGAAGAAGAAGAGGAAGAGGATGAGGAGGAAGAAGAAGAAGAAGAAGAGGAAGAGGATGAGGATGAAGAAGAAGAAGAGGATGAGGATGAAGAAGAAGAAGAAGAAGAGGATGAGGATGAGGATGAAGAAGAAGAAGAAGAAGAAGAAGAAGAAGTAGGATGAAAATAAGAAGAATTCCAGTACAGCAAAAAGTGTATCTGCAGAGAGCTCCGCTATTTCTGACAGTTCTCTGACAGTTCCTTCACATTTACAGCGGTTGAAACATTGTATCTATTTGTTTCCGAATAAAAACATCTGTATCCTAAATGGAAACAAATAGATACAATGTTTCAACCGCTGTAAATGTGAAGGAACTGTCAGAGAACTGTCAGAAATAGCGGAGCTCTCTGCAGGGACACTTTTTGCCGGCTGTAGAAGGGATGAAAATCGGCCGATCGGGAAAAATTCAATTCGTGCATCCGAAGTTTGCTAATTTTTCGGATTCGGTGCGAATCAAATTTTTCCTAAATATTCGAAACGAATTCCACTTCGCCAAGTTCGATTCGCTCATCTCTAGTATATATGTTCCATTTATTTCATCTCTTTCTGCTTTAAATTCAGTATTTTCTTTAATGTTCCTGTCACCCCATCCAATTTTCCAGTCTTCATGGAACGGTCCTGCATCTACACTATATGACCAAAAGTTAGTGAACATCCCATTCCGAAACCATGGACATTGATATGTAATTGGCCACCACTCTTCTGCAAAGGCTTGTAGGCAGGTTGCCTACAGCAAGTTAGTTAGTACAGCTGCACTAGCTAGGGGATATAAGGGCTTAATGTCTTTTTCTGCTGTTCCTGGTCTTAGTCCATGGGCTTTTTGAGTCTGACACACTGGTCCTATGGTCTTATAAAAGGAACAGGCATAGACTTCTATGCAGGTATACTGGGGCAGCCACAACTATGCTTAGGTTTAGTTAAGGAAAAGACTGTTTGCTTTCTTTTGAAACTGTTATACTTAAGTTCTTATAGTAAAGCCTTTGAAACATTGCCTGGTCTGAAGTCATTAAAATGAATGTATGAAAGTAATTGGCACATTACACATAGACATCTGAAGCTTGGGACAGTTAAAGCACATTGGGGTATGAAGACAGCTCGGCAAGAGTTAACATGGTACAGAGTTAAAGCAAGTAGTTTTCAAGGATAACAGAAGTCTAGTAACCAGTGCAAGCAGAGTTCAGGAGCAGTGCAGAATCATTGCCACACCATCACAGCAAACTGTATTAGGTGGAATTCACTTGAAGGATCAACAAGTATTTGTGGGACTTTGCAGAAAAACAAAGGCACTTATAATTAGGTGCTTCAGCACATATTTGTATAATGGGAGGTCATAGTCCTTTAAATAGGGTTCAGTAGGGTCAAAGTCCAACACCAAGAATTAGAAAAAATCTATCTGGCTCCAGTGCTGCCCTCTTCTCCCTAAAACCCTTGTCTATGGGTGGTCCTATAGGGGCCAATGCAGGGTTATTAATCCTGCATTGTACATGGTGGGAGCATGTGTGTAATCATGGCCATGAGAGCATAGAGAGGGGACTGCAAGGGAATGGTAGCACCACTGGAGTGACCATGCCGTAGCATGGAATAAAGTATTTCCACTTACTCTGGTACCCCTATACAGGATGAACATTTAAGCTTTGCAGCATCAGGGGTTGGCATTACCTCAACAGTTGATTTTATTTCTAATTCCTAGACCGGGACTTTAAAGCGGACCTTCACCCTCAAAACGGCACTCTCCTCCTCTCCATCCCGCCCCCACCCTCCACAGTGCCAATATTGGTTTGCTTTTTTTTTTATTTTGTTTTTCTTACTCCAAAGGCTCGGCTCGCCTCCTGACTTCTGAAATTCACCTAGGTGAATGATGCTGTACCCCTGATGCTTCCTGGAACGCATGGCGTGCAGTCCCATTTAGTAAAGAGGATGTGGCGGGACTAGCAGCGCCTGCACCTGGAAGAGCCAGAAACTGTCACAGGGAACATGGTAATGGCAGACCAATGCAGGGGCTGCAGAGAGGAGGATTCCAGCAGCTCAACGCTGGATCTGTTTGCTAGGTGAATATGGTTACTGTGCTGAAGACAGTAAAATGTAAGCAAGGAATGGGGTAGAATAGGCGAAGGGGAAAAGCTAAAGTTCCTCTTTAAGATCGGGAAAGGCCACTTTCCTCAACATCAAAATGGTCAAATTATCTCTGTGACTATGAAGCTGACAGTGAGTACAGGTTCCTATACATCTGCCCACCTTTTATTGTATAAATTCCAATATTTCAATTGAGAATTTTGAGCAAGTCACAAATAAAAATACAACTCTTAGGAACAGGGGCGGACTGACAACTCATGGGGCCCCCGGGCAATAGAGGATCATGGGGCCCCTGTGTCCTTGCCCAAACTCAAAAAAGCCTATGAAAAAGGTACCAGGAGCATCTCATGGGGCCCCCTACTGACCCCAGGCCCTTGGGCAGTGCCCGAGTTTCCAAATGGTCAGTCCGCCCCTGCTTAGGAACCATATAGGGCTCCCTTGCTAAGCCTTCATCTTTCGTGGTTCCAAAATGTTGAATTAATTTGTGACTTGCTGAATATAAACAAATACTGTATAGTAACTGAATCTATAAAGAATAGCATGTGCTGCAGTATATTTGCTGAACATAGCGCCATCCATTGGTTGCTATTACACCCTGCAAGGCCCAGTACCAGCTCAGTATGAAGCAGGGGCGGACTAACCATTTGGAAACTCGGGCACTGCCCGAGGGCCCGGGGTCAGTAGGGGGCCCCATGAGATGCCCCTGGTACCTTTTTCATGGGCTTTTTTGAGTTGGGGGCAAGGACACAGGGGCCCCATGATCCCCTATTGCCCGGGGGCCCCATGAGTTGTCAGTCCGCCCCTGGTATGAAGATATTTCAACAAACGATGCCAGCACTTTGGGAGCCTTATCTGGCTGCATACTTATCTGAGCCTGCTAAAGTTTAGCTTTAAAAACAGTTTTTTTTTTTTTTTTTTTTTTTTAAACATTAGCAAAAAAGTATGTTCGTGAACAACCATCCAAATGTGTGGTAATGATGTCATAAATAATTTAAAGTACATAATAAGCATCACTACAGATTCTATTATTCAAGGCTGCAAATAGTCCATTATTTTATAACTTGTTGTAGAATTACTTAATTTACTTTATTTGTTATGAGCATGGCTGGAGTTTACTAAACAATTTCCTCAATTGAATTAAAAGGGCCTGGGGTAATGTTGGGAAAAGGCAATCAAAGCCGTAATCTCAAGAATAGCAGAGAGAGCTTTATTGGCATTCCTCAGTATCTTCCCTTGCTGTGTAATGGTGACACAGAGCCCCAGACATAAAGTGAAATATTCGGACTGATTCGCAGTGTGCGCTTAGAACTCCATCTGAATTCATCTTCCGCTAATCCAACTAGATTGTATGGATATCAGATACGTGGATATGTCACTACCCTCAGGGCATGTGTGTGTATTGTAAGTGTAAAATCTATGACATACCCATGATTCTAGAGTGATCAATAGTTCTTCGTTATTTAAAGGTAATGTACTATTTAGTAGCAGGAATAAATCTGTAAAGAAGGGTGGAAGGAAAGATAGACATGGTCTTTAGTATGATGATAACCAGCCAACCCATCCAAAAGGGATATTTTACAGAAAGCTGAACTCCAGCCTTCCCTTCCGTCCTGCACAGTTTTCCTCTTCTACCGCTGAGCTTCCCACGGAGTACATTAGGCTACGTTCACACTAGCTTTGTCAGGAGGCGTCAGACAGGAGTTTGGGAAGCATTTTTAATGCTTCTCAAATGCCTATGAAAATTCTGCACATGGCAGCACATAGTGCTGTTCACACGGAAGCGTTAGAGTCGTGTCGCGTTGCGTCGCGGCAAAACTGATGCCTCATGTTGAATGGGGAGGCTTCAACTCCTCCTGACTCAAGTCTATGGTGCCGCTCTGCAAATTCATGGCAGGCGTTTGCGGTGTGGTTGCGACACGGTTGCAAGGCGGTTGCGGAGCGTTAATACCATTTAACTTCATTATAGGAGTTTGTGGTTTTAACGCTTAGCAAATGTCTATCAACCACCTCAAAACCGCGCATAGAGCGTTTTGGGAGGATTTGGAGAGCATTAAAAACACTTCACAAATGCCTGTCAAACTCTATAGGGGTGTTTGGCAAGAGTTAGAAATAAAGTCAAGTGTGAACGAGCCCTTAGAAGCTGCAGATAAAGCCTTCCTCATTTCCTGGCTAGAGGACGTCCAGCATCAGCTAGCCCTTTCCTCTCCAGTCATAGTGTTCCTGATCTGTCCATTTCATTCACTGTATTTCAGTTCTTTTAATCATGGAGGCTCAGCATCACATGAAGGTATTACTTAGACCAGTCTGCATGCAAATGCAGTCAGTCTAGGAATGCCCATTCCTCCCAAATGATATCCACCTAAGCGAAGTACTAAGGCAGGGTGCTGTGATATCTTCAGAAAGTTATGTACAGCATCTTGCTGGCTCCTCCTAGCAGCCATGATCTGTCTTCATTGCAGAGAAAAGCACAGAGATCCTGTGATGATGTCACTGGGTTTAAATAGTATATCTAATGAAAAGGAAAGGCTTTATTTAAAAATTGTATTAGTCTGTTGATGAGAAGGGAGAGAGGAACCAGGGAAAGCAAAATTTAAGCAGATTTAACTTTAGCTTTTAAGGTAGATCCTGGTGAGCTGAGTCAGCTCTCGGCTTTTTATATGTCTTGGAAATGCCATCCGCTGCATATGTAATGAGCAAACATGGCTGCCCAATATACATATAGTATATACGAATTAAACATAGAAACCTGGTCTTCTTTTTTTAAATAACACACATTATCAGCTCATCACAGTTATTACCTTTTGTATAATTTGGCCCTCCCTTTAGATTGTAAGCTCTAACGGGGCAGGGCTCTCTAATTCCTCTTGTATTGAATTGTATTGGAACTGTATTGCCCTCATGTTGTAAAATGCTGTACAAACTGTTGGCACTATATAAATCCTGTATAATAATAATAAATAATAATAATAATAATAACTATGACCATAGACCAAGAAAACCTCAGGTGCGGCTGCAGGTTCCCATCCCTAACTCTGGTGATTCACACAAAAGGATGCTGGCATGGAGATATTCCGTCCTGGTTCAGAGGAAAAGAAAAAACAAACCACCGCACACCAGCAAAGCCCGAGTATCAAACTCATGCAAGTGGCTTCAGCCTGGCTCCATCCAGGCCACGCTGCTGACGCGTTTTGCCCTGCCCACAGGGCTTATTCATGAAGGTCATGACTAAGCCTTATGGGTCATGCTGTAGCCTAGATGAAGCCAGGCTGAAGCCACTTTCATGAGTTTGATACTCGGGCTTTGCTGGTGTGTGGCTTTTTTTAATGTTACATTATACAGTATTTGAATGTATTGTCAATAGGGATGCACCAAAATTTTGGCGGCTGAAACATATCAGCCGAAAATAGCTCTATCAGCATTTTTAGTCGATACAGGTGCCGACAGAGTATCTGTGTGTACTGCATATGGGGGGGGGGGGGGGGGGGGGTGGCAGAGAAAGGCAGGACAGGAGTAGGAGGAGAGGAGTAGTGTATTCAGTGTGGTACTGCTAAATGTAAATCTAATTACTGGCTTTTTTTCCCTTCACTATAGCTCCAAGAATGAGTTGTCATTCTCCCCACCGCTCCCATGCTGGAATCCCACAATGGTGCGGGTAAGCGCCACCTGCTGGGGGAGCATTGGAGAAGGTATATTTAAAAGCTTTTAGCCTGGGTTGACACTTGTGCGGTGCGGCATACCGCATGTGATTCGCACAGGAACCAAACCGCATTCCTGTGCAAATCACATGAGAATTCTGTGCGGTGTGATTTGAGCCATACATTTTGTATGGCTCAAATCACACCACATTCGCACCAAAAAGGTGCAGGACCCTTTTTTGGTCCACACTAGTATCAGGTGAGTATTCACACCTATGGAATCCAATTCTGCACATCGCACTGTGTTTTGTGAACCGATTTCGGGGTGTTGTTAACATACACACCCACAGCGGTTCGCATGAACAGGATGCGACTGTGATGCGGCGCAGAATTCAGAGAGAAACCGCTGTGAATTCCGCACCACATCAGTGTGAACCCAGGCTGAATCTCTTCTAGACTAAATGAGCAGTTAACCCTTGCAGTAGGGCTGTGAACAGGATTTTGACACTTCCCAGAGTTAAGGCTTTAAGTGTAAAATAACCAAAATTACAATTAAAAAATACCCATTTATTTCCTATAATATAAAAAAAATAGTATGGTATTAATAAAGACGCTATACATCCTTAAAAACAATAAAAATGATGTAGGTAGGTAGGCATGCAGTATATGTTTTCTCCTTGGGTGAGTTTAGGTAGGTTAATTGGCTTGCTCTGTACATTGGTCCTAATTGTGTGTGTGAGTTAGGAACATTAAAATTCAAACTTCTTTTGGAAATGGTTAAGCTGAGCATGTTAATCCAGATATCGGAATAAATGTAAAAAAAAAAACCTATAGTTTCCCTTTAAACATCTTTTTATGTAGCTAAACCATAAACTTTATTGGCACACTGCAAAACTCCATGTGGTTGGATCTTAAAAACACTTCAGTGGTTCCACAGAGATAAAAAGTCACAGTAACCCTAATTAATGATGCTAAATCACAGCATCTGCTTGTCTCCATTATTTTTTTTAATTAATAGGCTCTTACAATATATCTGTGGCAGATCTCGGAAATAATGTCGGAGAAGTAAACTTATTGTTGAGGGGCACTTGTGTGATAATTAAGTGTAACCATTAATGGAGTGGACAGAGCTGAGCACCATAACAGTCCAATAAATGAATTATATGTTTAGAACACTTTGTTCAGAGTTTAAATCGCTTGTATTTCTAAATCACAATTTTTAATTAACTTCTACAATTATGGGAATACGGGAGAATAAGGGAGAATGAGACGGAAATAAAAGTTACCAAAGAGGTGAAATTCATTACTGGTCAGCCTACATAGAGTGCTAAATTGACCTGGGAGTCTCATAAAAAAAAAAGGACAAAAATCACTAAATATAAAATAGATCTACTGTAAACTCTAACTGGGCACAATTACAGCATTGTGTAGATGGGTGCAGTTAAGTAATTTGCCACCAGGTGGCTCTGCACCAGAGTAGTGTCTGGAACAGCAGGTAGTGACACAAGGTGTTAGGCCCCCTTTTAGGTAGATCAGGGGTAGGCAACCTGCGGCTCTCTAGCTGTTGTGGAACTACATTTCCCATGAGGCATTGCAACATTACAAAACTGACAGTTACAGCTATGACTTGCAGAGGCAACAGCTGGAGAGCCGCAGGTTGCCTACCCCTGAGGTAGATCCTAGATGTGCATGCCAGAAATTTTCATTTTTTCGTTTTGGATGCTTTAATTAGCTGAAGAATCTCGTTTCATCATTTTTGTTATGTTGAATAGATTTGTTTTTTATCTCTGGCATTAATTTCGTATTTTTTTGTTGGTCTGGGTGGATTCAAAAACTATATTAAAACTATTCAGAAGGATTCTTTATTTTTGGACAATCTGAATTCATTGTGAATGGCTAGTTATTAAGAAGTGGGTTGTCAAACCATGACTCATCTGCTCTGTGGGGAATGAAAATTAAACAAGTGCATTAAAATTACAAAAAAAAACCAGCGGGGAGCCCCCCCCCCCCCCCCCCCCCCCTCAATCCATACCAGGTCCCATGGGTCTGATATGGATTTTGAGGGGAAACCCATACCAATTTTTTTTTCTAAATGGCATGGGTCCCCCCTAAAATCCATACCAAACCTGGACAGAGGACTAATCAATCAGACTGGCTGCTGCTAGCAAAATCACAAATGTGTACCGGTGAGCCAATGTGTGAGTGCAAACATAAAAATTGCTGCGCTGCCTCTCCCAAAAACCACTTCAAATAATTAAGGGTTT